AAAAACATTTTCTCCCCCCCAAAAAAAAACTGGTTATAACGGCCTCCCTTCCTTTGAAAGCTGCCAGTCAGGCTACTCGATGTCTTGTACAACTGGCAGGAGCATACCTAGCAAACTCTACCATTTGTCCTTGACAATTTTATTAGGGGAGGCAATGGCCTAGTGGTATTATTACTGAACTGTTAATCCAGAGCCAGACAACTTTTTGGGGACCTGGTTCAAATCCCGCCATGCCAGATGGTGGAATTTGAATCCAACAAATATCTGGAATTAAGAATCTAATGATGACCGCAAATCGATTGTCGGAAAAACATATCTGGTTCACCAATGTCCTTTAGGGAAGGAAGCCGTTATCCTTACCTGGTCTGGTCTACATGCGACTCCAGACCCACAGCAATGTGGTTGACTCTGAGCTGCCCTCTGGGCAATTGGGGATGGGCAATAAATGCTGCCTAACCAACGACGCCCTCATCCCGTGAATGAGTAAAGAATAAAGAAATTTGAGATCCTATTACTTAGACGTGAACTTTGGATATCAAAAGGATAAGCCAAGGTAGCTCAGTTCCCTCCAATTTGTCAATTCTTAAGGCAAGAAATGCTTGCAAAAACTAACAATGTCCCAGAGCCTGAAAACAAATTAGAAGCAATGCACCTTATGTTCGATATACAGAACGTTTTATTTCAAGTTTATTGTTGGAGAGATGAAAAATGAAAAAGGTGAGAGTGCAATCATCAATAACTCAAAATAATTTGGTGTGCATTCTACAAAAATTGTTTTGACAATTCAACAGAAACATTCTATTTGGAATATTGAGTGCAGTTTGACTCCCTTGATTTCAAATGGATATTGATGGATTGAAAAGAAATCTTCCAGAACAGCAGTAAGAGTTAATCTGGAATGTAACTCTCAAAACAAGGAGAAGATGAATGAAAATAAATTAAATTCTTCGAAAAAAAGATTTTAAGAAGTCACATTTTAAAAATCTGGACTATTTCAAAATAATAGCACAAATAATGTAGATGCAAGCAGATCAATTAATGTAAACTATGATCGTAAAATTAAACAATTCAAATATAGTAGGAATTTTATCACAATAATAAAAATGCCTCATTTGAAAAAAAGCCCATAAAATATTGCAGTTCAGTTTAAAAAACTGGTTAGTGCATAGGTAGCAAGAATCTTTCTTCGTGTCTGTGAACTTATTTTCCATACAATAAAGAGGATACAGATTACTGCCTAGTATGCGTCACACTGCTTCAAATTATTCCTAAACAAATACATTTTCATTGCAAAGTAACCACTTAACACAGAGTGCTTGCTTTGACCTGAAAACAAATCATTGAAGTTAATGGGTTCAGACTCTGGAGTGAGTTTGAGAGCCTTCAGATGGCTAACCTTGTATTTTCATATTTATTTTACTGGAAGAACATCACAACCCTACAGAATGGAATCATATTTAACCAGCTCACGCTCAGGGCTCCCATCGTGGAAAATCTTCCAACTGCAATCTTCTGTCTTCCTCTACAATCTTGTGCTTTTCTTACACACTGATGTACCATACTACTGGCCACGTTAAGCAAAGGTAAAGTTGCCATAGTCTTACCAAACCACAGGGCTGCTCTCCCATTAGAATTGGTGGTCACCATGCCACAGATGAGGAGAACAGTTAAGGAGGAGAATCTTCATGGTAGCCTCAGCTGGTGCAGGAATTGAACCCACACTGTTGGCATTACTCTGCTCTATAAACCAGCCATCCAACCAACTGAGCTAACAAACCAACCCCCTTGGCCATTTCGCGATCATACGACAAAATAAAATCACTGTTGATATTTTTTGAAGATTGTAGATCAGCAATTCGAGTCCAACCCACAACATAATCGCAAATATTCTGGCCCTATAATGCTGTTCAATAATGGCTTATAAATAGCAAGATCTATCACAAACTTTTCAGATCGTAGTAAAAAGTAGCAGTTTTAAAATTATCAGCTTCCTCCCCCAAACCAATCACTTATTTCTTTATTCTTTTATTGACTCTGATCATTGGCAATGGCGGTGTTTGTAGCCAAGACCTGACTGCTTTTGAACTCAGTGGTTTATTGCAGGTTTGGACTAAATTATAGTCTAGATCAGGTTAGAATAGCAGATTTCCTTAGTGACCGCATGGGTTTTTACAACAATGACAGCTGTCATGGTCACCATTATGGCATACCAGCTTTATATTTCAAATCTATTAACCTGAATTTGATGTTTTTTTCCTGGAGCGTTAGCCTGAGCCTCTGGATTACGAACTCTGCCTTAACCACCACGCTACCATCACTCCATCATTAATCACGAATATAAATTCATTCCCACTTTTAAGTACCAATCTCAGGTACAAACAGGAAATAAACTGAAAGCAGACAAGATTGAGCCAAAAACTTTTGTAATAGGATCAGATTATGCTGTCAAAGGGAGGTCAGTAATGTAAATTAGGAGATAGTAGGAACTGCAGATGCTGGAAAATCTGAGATAACAAGGTGTAGAGCTGGATGAACACAGCAGGCCAAGCAGCATCATAGGAGCAGGAAGGCTGACGTTTCGGGCCTAGACCCTTCATCAGAAATGG